AAACCAAAGGCTCTTTTCAGAGCCCACAAACCAAAGGCTCTTTTCAGAGCCACCTTCTTTGTCACAAAAAGGGCTGTAGCTCTCCAAACATCGCCCCCTGGCTGTCCAGCTGGTGGCGCCCTGCCCGTGCTCCCCACCTTTGTTTCCTACCAATAACGAATATGATCCAGGTGGGTATATTCGCTGTAATCTTCACTTACCAAGAGACAGACTTCCGGTGACCATAGTGTTTGAGAAATGCCCGCGAGAGGCACTGAGTGAGATTTTTTCGGGGTGGATCCCTGCTGGGCTGTCTAAAGTGAACATATACTCGTAAGGTTATAGCGTTCACTCGCATTCTCCAAGGCATTGAGAGGAATTATCGAGGGGTGCTTTAGCTTGATGCGGCATCACTTTCTTTCATTTTCTTAGTCCTTATATCCTTTTGTGGTACGAGGGTTGGATTCAAAATCTGTACTTTCGACAAAACACACATTAGTCTGTATTTTCAAATCGATTATCATACATATTTTAAATATAAATTTAAAATTAAATAATATCATCTGTATTGTTCATTTTATCTCACAAGGATATTACTTATATATGTATTTTAGGATTTTCTTGTGTTCAGTGCAATTATGTTTTTTCAACAATTGTACACTTCATAGTATTTTTCGGGGACTAAAGTAGCTTCAAGACACTCTTTAAAATGTACAAATGTTTTGGAACATTTAAACTTTTATAAAGATAGCTGTTTGTGTTCAGTATTTGGAGATTGTTGCCATTTTCTCTTTTTTTCCATTCACTGAGATCTTGGAGCAGAAGCTGAGGCAATGGTTAGCCAGTGTCCTACTTTTCAGGGGTTCTGCCCAAAGTCCGTGACTTCCTGTTCTAGCCAGAGTACGTTAGCTCTGGGCAAACAGTACATTTTGGGTTAGTGTATGGTATAAATGACCAGAATCATCTGTCATCAAGGATTGGTAGTGAAGGTCACACACTCAATGGACTGACTAAAGCTGAAATTTCTAGAAGGTGCTCGCTGCTGCGGCTTCCAAATGCTCTCTGAGGGGGCTACAGAGCTTCGAGACAGTGAACTTTCCTGTTTTCTAATTGGTTCTTGCCAAGTGGAATCATCCAATCACATCTAAAATCATTGTTATTGACACGGTAGCCTTCAACATTTCCTCCAATCAGATTAGCGAGCAGACCCTCCTCATTTGAATACCTTGGCATATAAATACACTGTGCTCCGTCCCTAAGCATTAGTTTAAGTGGACTGCCTCAACTCTATGTTGATAATTCTTCGTCTGCCCTTATCAAGAAAGGTTTTAGGAAAGCACACATTTTTTTTTTAAAGATTTATTTATTTATTCATATAGAACTGGGGTATAGGCCAGAGATGCCGAGGGTGAGAGGATTCAGCAGAGACAGAGAGGGGAGCAGAACAGGGAGATCGTGGAAATACACTGCTGAGGGGAGCAGCGAGCGGGTCAGGAGAGGTTTGCTTCACCATGTGGATCTCCTCCCAGGCAGGCGGGGCTCGAACTCATGCGGAAGTGGCTTAAGCTTCTTAGTGCTGTGCTTTAACCCGCTGTGCCACCAGGGAGGAACAGAAATCACACATTTTTTACCGTGAATAAAATGTTGTCACCCAACTGTATTTTCTCATATATCTGAGGACATAGTGTTTCCAGGAATACAACGATTTTCTGACTATGTGACATGATTTCCTACCCTAACCCTTCATTTCTGGAGGAAAGTCATTATGGACTTCTTGCTTAAATGAGACTTGCTTTTATTTTTTCTTATTGTATTCACTCATTGTCTCACCTCTGTAGGTTCGAATTTACCAGAAGCTTATTATGTTTGATAAGGGAACAGAACCACCTCACTGGGGGGGGGGGGGGGGAAGGTGGTAACTTGTGACATGCACTGACTATGAAATCATTCCAAGCTACTGTTAACCACTTTTTACCTGGAACAAAATATTAGTGATCCTTATCCATAGATTTTTTTATATGTGTCTGTAAGCTTCCTTAATGAGTCAATCAGTTTCTTAGCGGGTGATTTTATTATTTCTCTGCATTACCAGTTATGGTGTTCCTTATGATATAAATGTTTCAGAATATTTTTACTGGCCATTTTAATCTTTATTGTTCACAGAAGTTGAAGGTATTAAAGAGTTCTATTAAGAACACAATTTTTACACCATACATGTTTAAGGCTCCAAAAATAGTGTCATCGTGATCCTCATTTTGGTATATGTTCTGTGTTTGGAGATCGTGCTTGTGTCATTTCTCAGCAAAATCTCTGAGATTTCTTGTCAGAGGTGGAAAGAGTGGCCGTCTTTTCATTCACGGATTTCCAGGGCACACTATTGTCAGGAATTGCTGCTCTAGTCATGCTTTCTCTAGGAAAACCAGAAATTAAGAATTGTAGGCAAAGAACCCAGTGTGAGTGTCCTCATGGCAGTGTGGGTTTGGATTGTGGCCGCCAGAATCGCTAAAACCAATACCAATTACAATAATTAAAACCCATTTGGTGAAGACTTGCAAATCTCCTGTGCTGTAATCACACCTCAGTTCATGTTTCGATGACCGTTAGCTCTATAGGTCGCTTTCAAAGATTTTCTGACAGAAAGGTTAGAGGTCACCAACCGCCAGTCTGCCCTGCCTGACTGGATAGCACCTTGCCCAGTGACTGCCTCCCGCCACTCAGTGCATTTTATCCAATGAGATTTGGCTATTGCCATGACGTCAGCGAAGGCAGCCCCTATAAATGGGCCACCGCTCGCTCAGAGGTGACCATTGTCCTTCCTGCCAGCTGTCAGGAAGTTGACTCTGAAATGGCCGACGCTTTCGTCGAGGCTTCGACTGAGGAGTGCCTGGGCTCAGGGGAGCCGGCAGTTCCGAGGCTGAAGAAAAAGAAGAAGGAGAAGCACACGCAGAAGCAGCAGCAGCTGAAGAAGGTGGCCCTGAAGAGGAAGCAGTCTACGCGCCGCTGGCTCGCCAAGAAACAAAGCCAGAGCTTCACCACCTACTTCCCCCGGGTTCTCAAGAAAATCCACGAGGACCTGAGCCTTTCACAGGAGGCCCTGAACGTCCTGGATTCCTTCGTGAAGGACATGTTCGAGCGCATCGTCCAGGAGGCCAGTCACCTGGTCCGCTCCAACCAGCGCGCCACCCTCACGTCCAGAGAGATCCAGACGGCCGTGCGCC